GTTGGAAACATTAGAATTACTGGCAGTAAACATCAGAATATGGGCTATGTATAAGCTTGTTCAGGATTGATCTTACACTTAAGCCACGCTATCTCGAATTAAATGCAACTGATACGCGCAGCAAGATTTTTACGACTCGCATCTAAAGACGATTAATCCTCTCTCGATCACGTCTCTGCCTTATTTTTTTGTACTTCAGATTTATTACCCTGTATCTGCTCACCGCTCTTGCAGAGATCTTCGTTCTTGGAACCGTCTGCTGACGAGTCATTGATATTGGCTTGTGTGTTAATCTTCGGAATACTATTCCGTTCTTTGGGTGAAGACCGTTCTACTTGGCCATCTCGCTCGGTCGTCTCTGCTGTTGTCTTCTTCTCGTCGTTACTATCAGCTTCCTTAGATTTCTTACTTGCAAATTGTTCTATTGTAACATCGCCGTTGATTTTGGCTGTTTGATTCTTCTCCTTTTTGTCGTGCAGGCTCGCAACGTTGTCAGCAACTTCTACACTGCATTTCGCTTCCGTAAGCTTCGCCTTGGAACTGTCTTCTTTATAGCGCACGGTTTCCTGCACCTTTCGCGCCTCCGTTTCTTTACCTTGTTTTCGTTCATTAACGCTGCTTGGCAAGCTCGATTTCTCGAATACTTCGGCGTTTGTCGTAACCGCCAAGTTGAGCGAAGAAGAATTCGGTTTAGCGAGCTGCATCTCAACGGCATCATTCGTGTCCATCGTGGACGATGTTTTAATAATGTTGGACGTCGGACTTGGTGACAAACCGCCAGTTTTGGATAGATTGAATGCGTTAAGTTCTCGTTGCAGTGACACAGACACTGGTACAGCTACATTCTTAGAGAGAAGTAGCGCGACATTGTCCACCGTTGATGTGATTGGCGACTGCGATTCCGCCTTCCCAAGGTTGAATGTAGACGAGATCGAACTCGGCGACGAGGCTTTGGGCGACTTTGGCGAGGATGAATGTGTGCTGGGTGGTATTCTCTGTACCGTCGGCGGTTGGCCAACCACTGGCGCGTAACCAGTAGTCTGCGGTATATAACTCGATCGCTGATACAGTTTATTGATTGAAGGCGGTAGACTACTGTGGAAGGCACTAGGAGGCGGAATACCGATGGGTGATCGTATCAAAGGATTCGGAAATCGGCTTGCGTCTGGGAACGGAGACGGAAAGTGAGAATATATGATTCGAGGATTAGTATTGGGCGTGGGAGATGGTATGAATGGATTGGTCGACAACATATTTACCGGAGAATTTCTTGGGGATATAGGCGAGCCAGTGTTTCGACATATATCCCGTGAGAACGGGGTATTCTGATAGCTTCGAGCGTTCGGCGAATAAAGTGGTGGTGAAACGATCGATGAGTTAATCGTCGATACGATGGGCGACAAAGTCTTAGGATCGATCTTCATCATATTGAGAGTAGCACCCTTCGTGTTGGTTGTCGATTGATCTTTCTCCTTCGTATCGCTTACGACCCCATACATGGGCTTTACACCTGATGCGGGATTACCCAAGTATCGTGGCATGTTTCGCATTTTAAAGATCTTAGCCGGTTTAGATGGGATCTGCTTGTTTGTACTCTCGGACATAGAAGTCTGAGTTTGATTTTGCATCTCCTTTGCCTGATTCTTTGCCGCTACGTAATTATTTTTTGACAATGTAGGGTTCCAAGACTTAGGTGGATCGCGCAACGTTTTGTATCCAATCGATTGGTTCTGCTTCTTGAGAGGCGCTAATCTCTGGTTTGCATGAGACGACGCCGGTACCGAAGACGTTGACACCGCCAGCATATTGGCAGATGTAGACGTAGGTAAGGCAGGCTTGGTGTTTTTATTCTCCATTGTCGCATTGCTACTTGGAGTGTACACTGGTACATTTGGGATATTCGGTATATGCTTCAACGCTGTATCTGAATTGGGTAACAATGGCGAAGAATTTTTCTTCGCGCTTATTCTAAGCAGATCTGGCACTTCCGACTTACTATACGCATCTACCCTGTTCTTCTCCTTTGAATTTTCTCCTATCTTTGCGCAGATATCATTGATCTTCGAACCGATCGTGTTGGAACCGATTTTTGCGCAAATTTCATTCAGATTGGTACCCTTTGCGGCCATATCCTGCTTACGCATGGATATTTGTTTCATCAGAGATATAGGGATTGCATCCGGACATGGAGGTATCGGGCATGCACCGGTCGATATTGGTTTTGACATCGCCGTCGTAATCGTTGCTGTGGATGTAGCCGTTACAGTAGTTATATCTTGACTTACGTTACTGTAGTTATTCTTTAGCGACGTAGGTATAGAATACATATTCATAGGTGACGTTTGCATGTTGAATTGAGGCATCGGCGATATTTGGTTGTTGGATGTTGAACAAGCAATGGGCGATGTTCCTAACGATTTCTGAGATATGCTACTGGAATTTTTTAATGCTGATTTTAGGACGGCTGAGTTAGTTACGATGTCGTGAAGCGAAACGTAGGGAAACGTTGATGTTGCCTGACTAATCGTGGCTGTAGAGACGTTTGGTACAGCAGACACAATATTCTCACTCATCGTGACTATATTGTTCGGTAATCTTTGATTGATCATACCGGCGGTGTGACTCGTTCTCGGAGCAGACTCTGACGATGCTAGTACAGGCGAGTTTCTCTGTTCCAATAAATTCAAAGCTTGTTGCAAATCAATACTTATACTTGGATTACTCTTCTCATCGAGAGTTTTTTGTTTATCAGATACTGACAAAGAATCCGAAATATTTTGAGATGCCACCGTAGTAGACACAACTGATTTTTGTGAAGAAGTTGCCACCGAAACTGATACTTTACTCGTTATATTCTCACAATTTGTTTGTGCTTTCGCATCAGTAAGTTTTGTATCTTCAGTTGATTTTATATCGGATTTTTTTGTACCTTGCTGAAGCATCGCTCGTTTTTCCTTCGGCGCTTTCTTGGAATAAGTGTTATTAACTTGACCTACTTTCGGTTGAAATTGTAATTTCGCGCTCAATGCGTCAATTTTTGATCCAGCACTTACCATTTTTGCTTCACTTAAATTTTTAATGCATTCCTTCTGAGATTCAGTCTGAAAATCCGCGCTATTGTTGTTATTATTTATTGACATCTTTTCCGCATGTGCGTCTATCTCTTCTTTATCTTTAATTTCAACTACTTTCTGCTCTGTAAATTGTGTTGCCGATTGATCAATAACCTTTTGCTCTTGTGAAACTGTCTCAGATTTGTCTTCGATATTAACAGTTTGATTTTGGACTTTTACTTCTTGTGTATCTTGTTGCGATTTTGCAGAAGCGGTGCAATTTCTTGTTTCATTTGCCTGCTTTGTTGTTCCATTGTGCTGATTGGTTGTTAGTGGCATGCAATTCTTAGTTGATAAATTCTCGTTTATAAACTTAACGTCACTCGTAACAAGGAATGCATCATTCGGATCAGAAAAGATTGGATTTTTCGTTAATTCTGGATCAATGATCAAAGTAGATTGCATTATTTCTACAGATTTAGGTATACCACAAGTTTCTATCACCGAATCTGCTTTATTAATTTCCGCAATGGAGGCTATAGTTTCTTCTGAAATTTTCTCATCATGTAAAGTTTCGATGTCCCTTTTGTGTACTGTATTCGATATATCGGTTATACTCATTACTCCTGTTTCCGATATTTTTAATTGCACCTCTTTCCATTCGCGTTTTAACGATTCCTCATCCTTTATTTCTATAGAATCAATGCCAGCATCCATTAATGATTTCTTGTAGTTTGCATTGTCTTCCGATAATTTCAGGCGTTTTGAAGATGTTTCAAATATTCTATAACTTAAGTGCAATGGTACTTTCTGGAATACAATAAATACAATATTACTATAAATATGTATGCACAGATCGTAATTGAACTCAATATTAAATTAATTAAATACGTACCCGCCTCCAATGATAGATATACATTACATCCATTAATGAATAACTACTGCATAATGGCTCCTCTTCGTACATTATATCAACTCTATTTACATCACCAAGGCCATATTTGGCTCTTATTAGTTTTTGTAAATGGAATATTGTGACTGCTGCAGGACATCGAAAATATCGCCTTAAAATGGATTTCCCAGTATTCGTCTCACTTAAATCTTTTGTACAAGGATCAGAGTATTCCAGGGACAAGCTGAGGGATTCATCTGGAGAATATATGTACGATTCTATAGGTTTTCCACGAGCCTCAGGAGATATTGTTTGAATAGATTCTTCTGGATGTTTTGAATAAAATTCTCTCCGACGTCGCATTTCGTCTGAAATAATGTTTTCATCATTGTTACCATCTCGTACATATAATATGATAAAAAATTAAATTCTTCTCTTAAAAAAAAAAACATACTTTGATAACATCCAGGTACTAGTTTATAAACAATATCCTGTAATATATGGTCAGGACGTATATTTAATAGTGGCCTACTTTTGTGAACCTGTACTTCGCAGATTGGACAATACTTGTTACTCTCCAAATATTTAACAATGCAACTTTTGCAAACTGTAAAAATCATTAAAGATCTTAGTATCTAGCTACTAGTTAAAGTTTGAATATACAGTGTTATATGTAATATAGTAGAAAGATACTGTACACGAGTGTAAACATTCTATAATAGTAGTCGCATCGATAAAATATCCACCACATAATTTGCATGTCAAGTGTTCATTAAGTCTGGCCAAACACACTCGTTGTCCACCACTCTGCCCTGACATTCTACAACACAATACACAAAAATTATCAAAAATATCATCTTTATATAGATAAAATTAACAAAATTTAACAAAACTAAGTATACCGTTAATTATAAAATAGATAACATAATTTGACCATCAATTACATCAATACAATAATACACAATATTTATTTATTATTTATATATTTACGTAAGTATTTATTTAATTATTACTAAAAAAATGTTAGAATTAAAGGATTTTAATAATTCTGAATATCGTCACAAGTAAAATGTAAATAACACTTCTTCAACATTCTACAAATAACTGTTTAACATGGTATCTAAATTATTTAGTTCATAATATTAAATTATTCATAATTTAATTGAAGCAGCAAGTGAGCTAGAGCTAAGAGTCACAAAAAAAATGTTAAATAATTAAATCTAAGATTGTATAAAAATTAATTCTAATAAATTTTATCTAATATAATATAATAATTTCTTTTACTTTACATAAAAATATAAAATCAGAGCTATATGTTCAGAAATACTATCATTTTATTAATATTTTATTAATATTTGATGTTCAATATTCAATGAATAAGACTAAAATAATACATAAAAGCATTCAGGAATATCTTCCACTTGACATTCCACAAGCATAATTTGGTTTTGTTTAACATTTAACAAACAATGATTCCACAAGTAGCAAGCGTCAAGTGGAACGTAGTCTAGGTGGTATTTCTGAATGCGCGTAGCCCAGTGTTATGGTAAAATATGTTTCTTTAATCATTAAAGAATGAATTCACTTGAATAATGTTATATAAGTTTCTTTTTGCAATTATCTAATCTATTAGAACAAAATTATGTTTAAGTATCTTGGTATACAAGGTTATTCACATATATTTTCGAAGTAATATATAAATGTACAAATTTATATTCTATCGTATATAAGTACATGATTTATGTTTACTATCAAATTAACAGGTGAATAAATTAAAACTATAATTTTATGTGAAATACACACAGCCGATACATAACTCATATTATTAATATAACCAAACCAAAGAACCATGCAACAGCTGCTGAATACAAACGATAAAATTAATTGAAGCAAAGGATAATGCAATAAGATTAATAAGATTAACGAATTTATTTATGACACCGTTTCTTCCTAAAGGGAACGGTAATCGAATAACGGTTCAGAAAATTGAAAAAACATTCATGAAGTTATGATATATAGAGCGATTTCTCAAAACATATTCGATATTTCATGAGCATCAAACAAAAAGAGATATTAATTACTTGGTGCCGCTTGGTACATACATGCCGCAAATGTCCTGGTCAGACTTACGTGACGAACGAAGCGAAAATCGTTCGTTTTATTTAGTAATCGTCATTTGGCCTCAAAAGTCAGGAAAGTTGGGTCAGATGTAACTTGTCACGGGTTGCCATCACAGGTACATCTTAAGAAATTGGATTTCTCACATTCTTCGAGCGACAATACTTTCCGCAAATGTACGGGAGATTGATAAAGTGATAATGATGCACGATCCAATTCGCTTCAGTAGCGTGTATTCATCCTAAAATAGACTACAATGCTACCGAAAACTGCGCGTACGATAGCAGAACAAAATGGCGGATAAACAATCGTACGTGCGACACTCGGGAAAACATTGCGCAGCGCCCCAAATTAGACGAGTTCGACATCAAAACTTATGATCTCTCCGATAGTATAAGCGGCACAAAATGGCCGTGCGTAATTATTCACATATTATTATAGCGCAGGTAACCAATCACGAAACTAATTTAGAGAAACCATATTGCTCCATGCCTGCATATATATTGAATTCAATATTCAATTGCTTGCACCATTTTGCGTAATGGCTGTTACACATGAAAATCTGCAGCCCGAATCAGACTGAGATTGAATTTGACCAATCAAAGCAAAGGTTACTAATTTTGATTTGGTTTTTTTTCTCCGGATTGGTTAATTTCAATGTTCGTCTAATACTTTAGGCCGATATTCATAAGTGCTACATATTTGCTTTGTCGCCGAATATCGCAGCCAATCGCAGCGTTAACTTATTTATTATTTAGCTGAATTAAAATAAAAAATAAAAAATTAAAAATACAAATAATGTAATTAAAAGATATGGAATATATGAATAGAAATTTTATTGCTATTTAACTTAAAAATCAACACAGAAAACAATGTCATATAAATATATTTGTCCAGAAATTCTTATCACATTATATTTTTATAGTTCCTATTTATTTTTCCAAAACATTTTTAAGCTCATCTTTGATTAATAAAAAACACTCTTCCGTAATATCATGAAGAAGATTAATTATATCATCCTCTGTCAAACTATTGTATACAGTTTCATCTAAAATATATGTATATATGATATAATAATTCTATACAAGAGAAATTTTGTATTAAACATAGATCCTTACCACTAATTGTTAAATGTCCAAAGAGTTCGCAAACTCCAGGTAGAATTGCAGTTATGTCTTTTACACCAGTGAATGGTTTTCGAACCCAAATATAAATACGTACATCATTATACAATTCATCATTAGATTTTGATTTTGCTCGTGTAATATATACATTATGTGCCATTTGACGTAATTGTAAATAATTCACTACAACAAATGCACGAGATGCGAAATTTTCAATATTTTTAAAATCAGATAATTTGAGACAGAACCCTTTTGCTGGATACTCTATCAACAAGTGTACACCAGATACATAACTGCAAATATTCTAAAACAAATGTCGATAATTTGTAAATATTTGAAAATCTCTTACATACACACACTCATTCACTCACTCACTCATGATTGAATATAATATTACTTACGATATATTCAAGAAGCATCTCGTATTTCAAATAATATAAATGCCAATGTAAATGATTAACAGAGGAAAGAGCACACAAACCATTAAAAAAAGCCCTTAAAGACCTTAAAGCAAAAAAAAAAGATATATTATTTTATCATTTTATTTTAAGTAAAAATGTCTAACACAACAATGATTACCATGAATTACTTAACAGACATAATTCTATTACTTTGCAAAGACTATACTCTGTCACGATTTGTGGTAAACATTTTAAACGTTCTGCAAGAAATAAACAATGACTCTGTTCCAAAGGACTGGAATTAATTGCGATTATGTCATTTGTGTCGCCATTTCCTATATCAAATAATATCTCTTGCTGTGTTAGTTTAGTGAAATTAAAACGTGTAGAGCTAAAAGATTGTACCATAGACGTAATTGATTCTGGAGCACGTCTATATTGAGCTCTATCTGGATTTAACTGAAATTGCCATTGCATTATGCGTTAGATATAAAACATATATTTTTTTTACATAACAATAAGTATACCTGTGCTAAAAATTTGTATTTTCCCTTCAATATTTTACTATCTTTTATATTTAAAATATATCGGAATATTTTAATTTGTTCAGCTTGTTTCCATGTTTGCCGCAAAATATTATCAAATAAAGATTCATTTTCCTCACATGATTTAACAATAAAATTAAAATCTTTTATGTCATAGACAAATGTAGTGATCTGTTTGTTTGAAAACATTGTGTAACTATATGTAATTTATACTAAACACGTTAATTACAAAAATTAAAAGCCAAGTAGGGTCTTCTGAATAATTACTGAGCAAACTATAAAAATATATACATAAATTACGTAAATATAAATATAAAAAAATAATTATAGATGCATATTTGTGATCTAAAGTTTTTGGTTATAGCATGGACATATTGGACATTTCTTTTTCTTCTTTTAATTGGCAGATTGACACTCGCAGCTACCTCGGCTACGATCTGGCTATAAACTAGTTGTATGAAACAACTAAAATTTAAAATGCAGGCAACAAATACTGATATTAAGCATGAATAGTCTCGGTGGACTAATAAAAATTTGAAACGATGCAACACTCAAGCCCAGACAAAATACATCTATCTCGGTTCGCGCTTGTCACGAGACCAACAAGATTTCGACTGACATATTGGACACACATTGTACAGCGATATATCCACAAGACGTTACATATATACCAGCAGTGCAGAAAAGTCAGAAAGGTAGATATACCTACGTAGTTTCCATCCACATTCTCAGTTGGCGTTAGTGTGCGAGAGATCTTGATATTACAGAAAAAAAGATTGATATGTAGCCATATTCAAATTTTCTATAATATTATATCTAATTATTTTTATCTGACATGACACTTTATATCTGATTATTTTATCGTCTTCAAAAAACAAAAGTTGCTCAGATATAACGTCTCTCTTGAGTACATTTGAATTTCCCATTTGGATGTCCTCCTTTATCTAAAGTCGTTCGAATTTCCTTAGACTTCCCTTCCAAAGTAATAAAGCGACACAATTAAACACACATCTCTAGCCGTGGAGATCCTTCACTGGCAAGGAATTGGATAATTCGATTAATTTACTTATATATCGGGTATATTCTGTTTTCACGCTGAAAACATCAGTTCATCCTTATCAAATATTATAAAAACAAATGATACTTATAAATGTTATGCGCAAAATGGGACCCATCTATCGTCAGACTGCTACATAAAATTATTGGTGATTCAATTTTTTTATTATTTTAGTATTGTTTTTTCTATTTCATAGATGTGTTTCGAAATGTACTGACAATTTGAGATTGTTTCAAGTATTTAAACTTCGAAAATGTACGTGAAAACCTTACGTCTCTATTATATTTTAAATTAAACCCTAGTCTTTCTTAAGCACAATTTAAATAAGATTCGAAAAATAAAAAAAAATTGAGTACCAAAATCCATAATTAAAAATAGTTGCTAAATAATCATTACCTGTAAGTTTCATCGGTTATCAAAATTTAAGTTAGATTTAATTCGATTTGTTAAAATACGAATCAAATATCACATCTAAAAATTTTATATATTCGCATATACGCTTGTTCTTTTTAGCTGAACTTTTGCAGTTCATCTTTCTTTCTCTTCTTTTTTCCCGGAAAGAAAAAATTGAACCGTGCAAAAGTTTAGCTAAAAACATACCTTACATATATTACTATCGAATATAAAATATATTTATATAATTGAATATATAGAATATAGAGAACATTTACAATAAAACTTTAATTTATTACAAATTAAATTACTCTCCAATTTAATATTCAAATAACATATAAGAACATACATAAGAAAATTTAGAGGATTTAAAAGAAAGTATTAAACTAAATTTGTAAATATATATATTTTTATCACTTTTTTATTTGTAGTAAGAAAATATTTAAGTATATTAATAGAGATTAATATATATACATATATATAGAGATATATATTACATTAATACCTCTAAATATTTTCAAAATAGTTCTCTATTCTAGCCACTCTTTAATATAATAACATTGGATAGCTGTAATAGATCCTTCATCATGGCATTGTTTTCTTATCTGAAAAACAAAAACTAATGTATTATATTAAATATATATTTCTGAAAAGTATAAAAACCAAGGTCAATAAGAACTCAAAACAGAATGTGTTAATATGATAATATAATTATAATTATGTTTTTCATGCACTTAAATTATTCCTCAGTATGCTGGTTTCTATTTATATTAAAGCTCTCCTTGGCTAAAATTGAATTCAGTATGCAATTAAAAACCGTTAAAAAAGATAATTATACCATAAATATGTGTATTTTTAGACTTGTATTGGTCTTTATTAAGTTTTTTTTTAATAGTTTATAGTCATAGAAAAGCTAATTATCGATTATTTATTCGATTTTATTCATTTATTCGATAATTTTTATAATAAATAATAATAATATATTTGTAATGTCTTACTGGGCACAAACCACAAGGGATTTTAACCAATCCCATTGAGTTTGACAAAGGTTGAACTGCTCTGTATAAATGATTTCCGTCATTTGTGAGCGTCTGTTCAACTTTACCATCACAAACTAACGTATTTAAAATCACTTCTATGTCAGTTACAGTTAATTTCACCTATAAAAATATCGATTTTTTTTTTAGTAACAAATATTGATTTTTTTCAGTAATTTTAAACTTTTTAAATAACGTGTAAAAAATACAACCTTGCTCACTCCTAAATCCGAAATATATTTCAACACATCCTTAGAAGAAGCATATGTCATATTTCTTGCAGCGATAGGTCCAGTGTTACAATTTTTCGTCTTTTCTCTTTTTTGCTCCAAAAATCGATAGCATTGTTGATTCAATACATCAACAAATTCTGTTTCAAAATCTTGATCTTGATACCAGGCACCACCTGTTACAGACTCATCTGGTTCTAAGTTATATAGCATATACACTTTTTTCTTACTGGCTGCTACAGGTTTAACAACTTTGACATACTTGTTAGTTTCTAAACTTTTCAAAATTTTTTCTAATGGTTTATTCATCAAATTAGATTTATTTTTTATTTCTCGAATCCATATTCCCTTGTTCCCTGCTTCTTCAATAATTTTATATACTATTTTTTCTTCATTGTCAGTGCACTTAGCAAGTTTTGTTGGATCTTTCAAGCGATAATACAATGAGTTTGCTTGCTTAAAAAGATCAAAGTACCCTTGAGATAGAAGTTTATTTATAATCTTAGCTCGTTGAGCTGGTTGCAAATCAGGTATCGAAGCAGCTAAATCCTTGTCCGAAATACCTTTAGGTTTTTCTCGTGCAAGAGCAATTATTCTGTAAGAAAAGAAATGAGATACATAAATCCTGATAAATTTAATAATAAAATATAATGTATAATGTAATAAAATCTGATTGTTTTCCATTTCAATAACTTCCAATCTTTTACGAAAATTATCAAAATCCTATAATGAAATAAATATAAGGTAATACAATGAACTTATATCAGTCAAAGGTTAACGTTTCACTGAAATGACTCAAAATTTTAAACAAAATCAATATATGGATATGTAGCACTATTATTTGACATAAACATTTTTAATGCTATTATAATAATATTTAATAAGTGAATATCATTAATTAATTGAAAGAAAACATACAAGTATTAAATCAAGGTAAAATAAGATTTTTTTTCTGAACTATATCATGATTTCGATTTTTCATTAGTTTTTCTCATCGCAAAATTAAGTACTATATATCGAAAAAGAGGACATGATATAATAAATTTACATTCTTACTTTTGCTCAATTGTTTCAGGCCCTTCCTGCTTCGTGGTACTACTGGTATTTGCGTTCTGTTCTACTTCCATTTCATATGAAATGGTTAAATATGATTTTATCGTACTATGCTAAAGATTCTTTTATTGCTGTTTTTATGAATAAAATTTTTTCGTAACGTCAATATTATTGTTATTAATATGTTAATTTACGTATAAGCTCGTATGTTCCATCCACGTTTTTTGAGGATTTTGAGGGTAAGGGTTCCTAACCAAACTCCTGGTATCACTGTAGCGCCGCCACTGACAATCGGAAATACGGAACTAATATTCAATATGGTTGTTAAAAATCAATATGAAGGTATATCCTTGATCATTATTGATCTTCCTTTATAGTGATACCGGTAAACTAATTTGATAAGAAACATTTACATGTAAAAAATTTTTAATATATGACTTATTGCGGAAATATCTTGCGTATGTGACTGTACGCTCCTTCTTATTTCTGTTTAATATAGATTGGTTAATAAGATATATTAAATATACGCAGATATAAATGTATTTTAATTTAATGGTTACATTTATATTTTAACAAAAAGCTTAAAAAATGAAAAGTTTTTACTGACTGCATTCGAAAAGCGCATCATTGCCGCTTTTGTAGTGGCTGTATTTTGTTTTTATCGTTTATTATAGGTATGTACATAATACAAGGACGTGAGCAATAGCATTGATAACGCCTTTTTCGAACATAATTACCTTTAGTTTAAAATTCTAGTACTGAATATAATTAGATGAAAAATTGCTTATAATTATTATTGAACATTATCGCACTCAGGGTGCAAAGACATAATGCAATAATTAAATTTTATAAAACCTTTATTGTTTTAATAAATATTATGTAATCTTTCGCGTAGCAAAATAATTTATTATATTTAACTTTTTGTATATGATAACATAATTGTACGATCTGGGAATGGTTGTCTGATGATTTATTTATAATAAGCAGTTATTGATTGGATATATTAATTATTTAAGTTTTTTTGCGCAGTAAATATAACAAAAAGATAGCAATAATAAATAGACTATATTTTTTAATTTTTTAATTTTTTATTGTGCAAATTAAGGCTCCAGTACATATATATATCCTAAAAGGAATCAATTATTTAAAGGATATATATTAAATACATTACATCATATATATTATATACATATAACAAAATACAATCACTTGATATCCAAGATGCCTGCTAATATGATGAATATATAAAGAGCCATATTTTATCCCTCGCACTCCGAAAACTCTTTGCACGGTCTTGAGTGCACTAACCGTTTTACTTTATTATTTTAGCGAGTTTTAATATATTTTAGTACAGAATATCTTTTGCCATTCAAGTAATGACATATACTAGAAAGGTAACTTAACATTATTGATTTTAACAATTTCTCATTTTATTGTATAGCATCAAAAATTTATAAATTTATAGTAGAAAGTTTATAAAATCTTTTTAGATGATTTTTATAGTAGAAAGTATATAAAATCTTTTTAGACGATTTATAATACTTATCAAAATTTAAGATGATATATTCTATATTTATAATTTTATGTTATGATAATAAGTTTAAATAGCACAATAAAAAATAAGTCTTAGTAAATAGACAAGAATCATTTATTTGGCACAATTATGTCGTAAAAAAGATTTTTATTAAAAGTTTTTTTTGGAGATTAGTTAGTGTTTGTTAGCCATAACGTTTATTGAAAAATGTAAAACATTTTTACGAAATGTATTGAAATTTCAAATCTATACAATTATGTAAATCACTATTTAAGTATTCGGTTCATTAGTAGTTTATGATTTCGTTTAGACTTCACTACACATACATCTTTCGGATATATTAATTTATTTTGATTAATTATAATCTTTATTTGATAGAAGTATGAATTCGGGAAAATACAATATATTTTAACGATATTATTATTTGAATTTTTGAGATATAAATAATTAAATTAATCATGTGTAGTGTATCCTGCAAATAAATTAGAATTATCATACTTTTTAGAAAATATTGATTTAATTTACTTTAGGAATATTTATCAACAGATTTTATCGCAAAATGAAATTTAACTGCACAATATTTATTTGGCTAGTAGTCGTGGCATCGGCAATGGCAATTCAATCAAGTGTTGTAAGTAATTATTTCAGTAAATAATTACACTTGAAATGGATGATATTTCCATTTTGTAATGTTTAAATTATGTAACATGTGTTTCTTTTTTAATTTTATCAAGCTGAAATTGAAACTGAAATGCAAAATTTAAAAGTATAAATGACAAAGTATATGAAAGTCAAGTGTATAATAATTAGTAAGGCGCAAAATTGAGTCTATTCTTATTTAAAAATATATAACAATTTTGATATTTTACCTTTTTTTCGAACTATATATATCTCTTCAGTGAGAATACAATTCCTTATCTTTACATATCTTTAGTTTCTCGATCAGCAAGTAAAAACAGAAATAGATTCTAAAGGAATGAATGCGTCGTTTACACTGGTTACAACGTCAAGTGACTTAATTAGGATCATAAGTTAAAACTTATAAGGAATCGTAAAAAAACTTATAAGGAAAAATAAGAAAACTGTAAATCAGTCATTATACTTGGATATAAATAATTAAAATAAAATATTGAAAAAGCACCTTTTTTAAGAGTGAAATAAAAAAAGACTTTTGAGGAGTCTAAATTGTTATATATTTTTAAATGAGAATATAGATTCAATTTATATTGTACTTACTGCATTTGACTTTTATTTGTCCTGTACACTTTTCGCTCGATTTAGAATATTCGAAAATTTTTAGATCAATATATTTTTCAAAATGCAAAAAATAGCATTGTGTAATAGTAATAGATCCCGAAATCTCAGCACCGATTTTATATACATTTAAGAACATTTAAAATTATAGAGCGTCATTAAATAAAAACTTAACTGCTAAAAAATATATATGATTGATTTAATTAGGCAGATATTATCGAGACAAATTTAAATTTAAGGAAATATGTTTTGAAAAATTTACTTATAATTAATAGGATTTTATTGTATTGTTTTATTATATATAATTTCATATGCAAATTTTAAGCATAGTTACACATCATGGATATTATGATGTTTGTGCGATATGTCTTGAACAGGATAGACTGTGTAGGAATATTTATTTTTTTTTTTTTAAACAAACATTTTTGGAGATTGCAAGCAGTATGAACAAATCAGTAAAAGGCGTTATTCTATATGATTCATTAATTTTCGTTTTTTCTAAATTCGTATAATAATCAAAGAGTCTAATAAACGAGACAATTAAGCGGACTATAAAGACATAAAGAAATTTATTAACTTTCTTTTTCTAGATAAATCATGAAATATATGTGCACTGTAAACCAAACGATTGGATAATTACAAATGTAATTATTAAATCGATTAATGAGATGAAAAAGATTGGATTTAACATAACTTACAACGGGGTAAAAAAATTTACTATATTTACATTAAAATTAAGTTGCTAAATATACATAATTTTGTTATATAAAAAACGCTGATAAAATTTATCGCAAAACGTATGTACTTTAATAAAAAAATATTTTAGGATAATTATCCAGTATACACGATTGAAATTAAAATGAACAGTGTGGATTATAATAACTATATTATAGAAGAATCGAAAAGTTTTGTTAAGAATATCGAAGATTGCAAAAACAAAAATCTCTCGCAAGTAGACAAGAAAGCTTGTAAAATTGCAAATGTAATTACATTTTTATATATGTTTAGTTAGTTAATTAAAAAGCTTAAAATTCGAATTTGATTACAAAAGGACCTTTATCTTATTCACTCATTTTTTTTACATATTCACATTCATTCTCTTCCTTTCTTCTACGTTTCTTTCTTGATCTATCTTCTAATTTAATCCATTCTTCACTGTTTCTTTTTCTAATTATAATAATTATAATAATTCTAATTATGTTAATAATTACATTTCTATAATACGCATACAAATACACACATATATATGAGTAAATGTACGCACGCAAATTTTTGAGTTACGGATGCGTATTTGAATTTATATCATTATTTTTTTATACTGTTGCAAATTGAAAAAAAATGTTATATGTTTTTTTTGTAAAATTACATGAATGATGTAATTCTTCAATTTTACTGACTGTTCATTTCATTATTTACAATTTCAAAAGGAAATCACACAGAAGCAGGCTGCAACTATCAATTATATTTATATATATATTCTTTCTATCTCTCTATCTCAGATTACACATGCTATATATTAACACATAAAGAATTAGTTGTATGTATGCAAGGTTAAAGTACGTACTTAATGTATTTGAATGAGAAAATCAATATGAAGAGCTATTTGCTGAGCCCTATTATTTGATACACATGAAATCGCATGTGTATTAAATATTTAATTTAATTTAATTTAGTTTATTGCACAGCTATATGAAAAAGACTACATGTTAACAGAGCAATAGACATGAAGTATGATACAATAGACTATAGTTAACATAAACATAAATAGACAATAGTAACTTGCAAATGGTTAGGCGTCAGCAAAATTGCTGTTATAAAGCCTACCAGTAACAAAATCAAAATAAGACAACAATACAATAAGAAGTAAGAAATATCACGTATACATATAAAATAGTACGAAAGTAGCACAAGATACGAAAGATATTTTTCAATAATTATGTTTTGAATATCTGTAAGCCTATCCGGTCTATCTTTTTGCGCTTATAAATAATTTCTATATAAATAAATAATATTTATGAAAATATAATGCGTGATATAACGTGTATTATTTTCATTCTTTAAACAATTTAATATTAATTTCATAGCATTGTCCAAACTCCTCTGCAGTTCCGATATTAAACGACTATATGTAAAAAAGATTCACAATTTTCGTCTTAATAGTTAAGGTAAACAACAAAATCTCTAATAATCTCTAGTAATTTATTTAATATTTAAATTTATTACTCTGATAGGATATTGATATAAATTTATTGTTAGAGTAGTTCAAATTTTTACTTGTGACTAATATCATTTTCTGTACTATTTCATTGCGCGCCATTAAAATATAAAGAAATTATAAAGATTATAGAAGCTCCACCTAGTCTATTCTCATACATAATAATTCGTTACTGAAGGTTAAATTGGTTTTAATCCGCTACATTGATGTAACTGTGCTTTATTAGTGTGTTTTAATGCTTTATTAATCTTCCGAAAGAAGATAGAGGTCCTTTCTGAACAGGCCAGGCTTATTGTACAATATATTTCTGAAATAGAGAAAGCATACACACAATCTAACAAATAAAAGAAACAAAATGTCATCTACTTTTTTCTTTATAATTTAAATACGCTGCACATTAAAAATCTAAGAACTATTTTTATTTCATAGACACTAGCAATGCTGGAATAACAGAAAGAGTGGTTAACAAATAAATTTCCTACAGAAGATGAGTTATATCATACAGTATTTTGTTTTTCGCCAATCGAGTTGGAAGAAATATAAAAAAATTACGAAACATTATTTGTTTGAATAAAAATTTTGTTGTTTCATTCAAGCAATCTCTATTATTTCACAGAAATGATATTATTATTTAAAGTGATACCTTTCAGCCAAATAATATATTATTTGGTTACATTGAATACGATAAACAATGAAACAAATTATTTATTTGAAAATGACAAAATATATTGATAGAGATTCCATATAAATTATTGCTTTCTTAAAACAACTATTTACATTTTTTAGACAAAATTATGGAAACAATGGCTTATATGTCTAACAATAAAATTGAAGCAGTGTTATATGCTCAATTATGTTTATTCAAACAAATAATATATTTAAGAAGAAGCTATACATTGTTTCAAATTCAAATTGTACTTATTCATTCAAACATTGGTTTCGACTATTCCAAGTAATAAATTTATTTGGATACAATAAAATTTATTAAATAAAAAAAAATCAACTTTTTCTCTGTGTAAATATCTAACACTACATAATATTCGGTATGTTTGCATATTGTTTGATAATAAATTAAAATAAAGTAATAATTGATTTATTAATATTTTTCTACATTTGTTAAGATAAGTAGTTTCAACGAAATTGATGAAGTATTAAATACAAGCATAAATATATTTTAGTTGCTTGGTTATACATACTTTATCAAAGAATTAAAAGTTTCCTTTATGCTATTTTATCTTTTTCTTGTTTTATTTGTAATTTATTAGATAAAAATAAGAATATAATGATGTAATAGTGCTAATAACGCGCTTCCCGAATGCAGCCCTTGACTTAATTAAAGTGACCAGATATTTTCGGATTTAAAAATATCTATTATGTGCGGAGAAGAAAGAATGTATGGATATAAAGATAAATAACAGGAATATATTTTTTAAAATAATGTAATTATTAAACCTTTTTTTTTTAATTAAAAATTTGTAGATATTTAAAATTATAACTGAATGAAATCTATTTACTAAATATTGCAATCTAAAATTGATATTAATCGAAAAATATGTAGGAAAGTGTTTTAATTGTAATACTCTAATTCTTATAAGGTAAAAGTTCTCCTGTTGTTTGTGACTCATAATGCTAATATTAAAGGTGACTAAGTTAGAAATTAACTACGCAAAATGCTTATCACAATTTTCTTATTTGACTAGCCATTGTGCGCTGTATCTGTAGGTCATGTTCCGATATACATTACCAGCACTGAAAATCTATAATACACGTAACGTGAATTATAGATTTTTAGTTCTGACAGTATATCGGAAAACATTAGTTACAGTTTTAGTGTGTCTTTTGCCATTCGAGTAATAACTTGCACATTACAGGTAAGAAAATTATATATCGGTTTTAATATTTTCTTATTAATCATATAACATCAAAACTTTAATTTAGAATATACAAATTATAAGAAAAGAATGACATGCGTCGTTATAAAGATTACACATGTTTACATAAAATAAAAATTTGTTAAATGATTTATATTTGTCAGAATGTAGAATAAAAATTAATTTTATGTATTATATATAATTGTAGAAGTGATTTATTTGAATGAGAATTGTCTTCAAGACAGATGTAATTTCTATGATTTCTGAAAGGTTTAAGATCGTAAGCAACTTTATGTATGATGTAACAAGGCAACGAAAAATATATTTTTTTTTAATATATTATTTGTTAAAATCTATGTGACAAAAAAATTATCATTAAAATTTTGTTATTTAATTGTGTTTATTTAAAATATTTACAAAATGTCTTGAAGTTTAAAAATATAATCTCTATAATTAGATTAAGTATTCGTTAATCGCCATTTACTTATAGTAGAATATGTAATAATGAAATTTCTCAGACATATCATTAATATTTTCATATTAATTATCATTTTTATTTAACAGAAGGAAAACGAATTCGAAGAAGTATAATATTTTAATGACGTCATTATGTACATTCTTAAGATATAAGTAATCAAATTAATCATGCATGTACCTAACAGATAGATCACAATTATTTTTAAAAAATTATCGAACCAATTTATTCATTATAAATATTTATCAACAGATTCTATCGCAAAATGAAATTCAGCTGCGTAATTTTCATGTGTTCTTTGATCATAGCCTCGGCTATGACAATGATACAATTCGTAAGTAATTATAGTACTCTCTAAAATCTTTGGAATAGAATCTAACTCTAAAGAGTGAAATCTCACTCTTAAAAATTAATAATTAAGCTCTTTTTTTAATTGTCACTGATTCAATTGTCACTTTTTAGAATTAAATTCTACTCCAAATATTTTCAATTTTAGTATGTAATAGATCATATTATAACAATATTTAGTTTTATCCATTTTTTTATTACATAAAAAAGCAGATTAATTTTGCATTTTGTGAAATTATTTAGAAAATTGATATGCAAAAATATAAGATAATGTGTATGCATTCTATTTATTCTTTCAAATGAACATAAATTATAGGAACTGACTGCTACAAAATATATATATTTTTTAAATACTTATGTGTATAGTTATGTTTAGAAGAATTTTATAGAAAATATTGGATATATAATAGTATATAAAATATTATTTTATACAAACTATTAAATATTACCAAAATTTATTTAACCCTTTCATTTTATAATATGTAAATCTAACATTTTCAAAGATAAGAGCAATATCTCTACAATTAGCAATATTATCTATAATTAGCAGTATTATCTCAATAATTAGCAATATTATCTCAAGCCTTGAAATTTGAAATGTTACACGCTTATGCATATATTGGATTGAAATAAAGTTTGAAGTGTTACTTTATTTGTATCATATCTACTGGGTTTTAAAAAAAAAATTGGGCAATTATACTATTCGATAAAGCAAAGTTTCAGCTTCAAGAATCTGTTTTTTTTTTATTGTAGTACGATGATTTTATAGTTATGAGCGATCAAATTCAAGATGCTCCTTTTAATCCGCGATAATTTAGTAATAAAAAATCTTTAAAACATTTTTTAAAAATTTTCTAGAGAAACTTTAAGCTTTTATGTTAGAAAGTCAAAAATTTTCATAAATTCTTTTTGAGCAGGTGACAGATCCATAAAATGAGAGGAAAATTTCCTATTTTGTGTCTAGCTCGCAGTTTACTTATGTAGAACCCTGATAGAAAGCTAACGTCAAAATGATATTTTTTGATGTCAAAATGACGATAAAATGATGTCTTGCTATTAGGGAAATTACTAACTTCACAGAAACTCAAAAGACATAGTGACCTTTCGAAAATAGTTTAAATTTAAATTTCGTTTATTTTTAACAGTTACAACTGTTTGGATTTTACAAACTTTTGTTTTAATTCAATATTTTTAACTTATCCCTTAAGAATTCTGAATAGTCCCTGCTTAATATTGAATATCATAATAAAGCAAGAGATGATACATTAAAATTTTTTACAAGGCATTTGTAAATAAAGAAAATTTGGGTAAAATAAAATGAAATCGTTTTAAAACACTCGTAAAAAATGGTTCGAAACTGTGCTTGCTCTCCCTGACAGTCAATAAATAGTCGTAAAAGTGCCTATATTTAACTTCTGTTATATATTATATACATATACGTAAATATATAACTTTATTGTATACACAAGTTGTCTTGATAATTCATCTGGTGAGCATAAAATCTAAAGTCGTGTTTTAATACACTATCAGTACTGACAATCTATCTTTACATTATGTGCACTATAGATTTTTAGTACTGACAGTATATCAGAACACGGCCTAAATAAAAAAATTTTATACCGTTTTGTCTCTCAATAATTAATAAAAAATTACTAAAGATCTGCGAATAATCCAATTCAGTAGCGAATGTAGCAATGAATCAGCGGGAAGATACAATCATAAGTAATTCAATCAAGTTTCTTTATTTTCCTTTTATTTTGTGAAATTAATGTTTCCTATTCATCATGTTACTGCTACTAAAACTGCATGACACATCTTAACCTGGCAAAAACGAGATCAATAATATTCATATAAAGTAGTATTGTAATCTGTTAATTTTACTTTTCCAGACTCAGGGTACCTTCGAATCTTGCGATCCAGACCAATGGATTATGACAAATTCAACATTAAGATTGAAAAACAACACGAAAATAATTTCATGTAACATTACTTATAAAGAGGTACTTGTTAATAATTGCATTTATACATTCAAATAAGACACGATTTATAAAACATATAACACATATGATCAAATTTTGGAATGATAAATATACATATATATAACTCCGTATGTAAAATGCTTTTTATTAAATATTTTATCATAAAATGTATAATTTCATTTACAAAATCTTTTTTAGCCAAACAATAGCACAATCTACAGGATACATATTATAATAGATTGTGAGGATATAAATTCTAATTGTACTAACGAACCGATTGTATGGATTGACAATATCGATTGTAATTCCCAGAATCTCTCGCTATCGGATATGAACATTTGTAGAATTGGAAATGTAATTATGTTTTTATAATTATTAAGTTGTGTGTGTGTGTGTGTGAATATATACAATGCACATACACACACATATGTAAGAATTTAATTCGAGAACATACGTATTTTTGAATATAAAATTTGGGTATATATTTTGAGTTTTGTTTATATGCAAAACATTCTTTTTTTTTATATAAAAAAAAGTCAAATTTCATTTCGACGGAACAAAACTGTCTAGTTTTTAAAAAATAAATTGATAATTTTAACATAACGTTAATGTCAATTTGGAATAATGATTAAAAAACACGCATGATACATATACGTCAATACGTGAAACAAAATTGTAACTTATACTTTAAGAATAGTCTAACTTGAAAGTCTAAAAGTTATTTTTATTTCACAGGAATTGGCAAAATGGGAAAAAGAGAAAGAGTTATTAGCATACCGATATGGGATTTTTGGAGATTTATTCTCTCAAATGGTGTTTTGTATAAGTATTATTAACGTCAATGGTACAGAATCTGATATTTAAAATTGTCTTTTTCAAACACGTAAATATCTTGCCATGTAAGAATTAACATTAGAAAGTGTTTCTTCTCACATTCAGCTATTGATTGATGACATTAATTGCTATTGTATAGGTTTGATAAGACTAAATTAAAATATAAATAATCAAATACTTAGATATTAAACGTAATTTGAATTAACGTCATTATAAAATGCATTTTAAGATCAATTATTTGACTGTTATTGAAAAAACTTAATAAAGAGAGAGAAAGAGATTAATCCTTCATTTGATCTTCTACCAAAAATTGCTCGAGAGATGCTATACGCTCTTTGTCAGGATCATACATTTCGAGAAACTCTGTCCAAATATTTGGTTTGTGTTCTTTCAAATAATTGATTATTTTTCTTGCCGTGTATTTCTGCTTTTCGGTGCATTTTTCGCAAGATGTGAGTATCATATCCGGGAGAATATCTATACGGATAAATTAAGAAATGTATTCATTTATCTCAACGTATAAATATATATAATATTTCGCGGACCATATTTTAATACTATTATTTTCTTTTGTTACATTTTTTTTAATTTCCTTTTCCTTCCTTTTATCTTATAAAAAATGCGATACGTACAAAATTATTGCAATATATTGAAATTAAACATAAACTGCAATGTATACTTACTTTTAAAACTGCGTCCATCGGCAGTGCAGGAACCTTTATCGAGAAAGCAATTCACATACTGATTTAAAAGACGATCGCTGTTAATAATCGCATCCACATCTATATTATCATATGTATCTGAATAATATTCTTTTCCTGAAACGAGTCCAAAGAACACGATACTACACAATAGTACAAATGTGAATCTCATCTCTTTTGCGATCCTCTCTGTAAATTAACAACTTATTCTGTAAATTATAATAATTATTCTCCAATTCTTTTGTTAATTATTTCAAGATTCATTCGTTAATTTATTTTTAATAGAGTGCAAATGAAAATAGAAGAAAATTAACTCTTGTGTGGTTTTAAATTAAAATCAATTAAAATCACAACGTGTCATAAATTATAAATAAGCAAATAATCAAATGCGAAACGATAAATCAAACATGTTACAATTATCGGTTATAGTTAATACGCACAGATAATATAAATATAATTACAGACAGAAGTTAAAGCCATTCGTCAATCCACATTTTGTATAGTTGTCAGTGATAATGCGATACAAATCTTATTTTTAATCTTTACAAAACAATTCAGAGTATTCTTTTTGTCGTACAAACACAAAAGCGTTATAATGTAACATTAATTTGGGAGTTTTATAATAAAGAAAGAACTTTTATAAAAATTTTGTATAATAAAAGAGATAAAATTTAAAAAAATAAAAATACATGTGTATGATAGTACATATTCTCACCTTCGAAGTTAATGTAACCGATGTAATTCGGCGGAATTAGATTTAACACTTTCAAGACACAATTTCTACAAGATGTTCAAGTTAGCGTTATATAATGAAGCATTTGACTTTGTATCAAGGAAAGAAAAACTTTATTACAGAATTTATGTATATGCTCGTTATTGTTTCCGCATTTGACGTCGATGAATAGTTTACGAAACGTGTAACTTTCATATATACAATTTGTTATAATCAAAACAATTAATGCTGATTTATGCATAATTTGTTAACACGGAAACTGATTCAATGTCATGTCACGTAAAATTCTTTTGAAAGAAGATTGACAATTAGCGATTTATAAATACATTCAAAATCGTGTAAAAAAGAAACTTTTAACGCAAGATCATGTTTACGATCTGATTTTAATAGTAGTATTGATAATTATACACGTTCTAATTGTATTTCCATATTGATTTGCAATTTAATGATGCCATAATTTAAATAGGAATAAAATCATAGAATTTATTTACATATATAATAACCAACAATAATACTAATATATGCTAATGAAATATTTTCTGTAATGTAATGTTAAATATAACCAAAATATTTTTGTGCAATGTGAAATATAAATTTTGATTTACACTTAAAAAAGTACAAATTTATTAACATTTCGAAGTCAATAGTAAATTATTGATTAATGTCCATTTTATATTTCTAACAATTTTTTTTCCGTTATTAAATTTGTAAACATGTGTGAATATTTCATAATTCAATAATTATATATTTAATAATATACTCGTATAACTCTAAAAAAAAAGTATAATGTAGGACTAAAAGCTTGGTAGAAAAAAATTCGTGGTTTCTAATACATACATAAATATTTATATATATTTATTAATATATACATTTATTAAAACTGAGTATGATTTGTTAGAATATATTGTATAATGATAATTATATGTTCCAATAAACTACACTCAATCTTACGAGAAAGGAACTCAATATTATCCCCTTTGAAATCATTCAACTTTCATTCTGAAAAATTTTTTCTATCTTTAAGTTTCGGCGATATTTCGAAAGAGAAAAAACCAATTTTTTCTAAGGGATGTCCTCCTTAAAAATGCGATTGGGCACATATAAAAAAAACGTGTTGCTTATTTTTGTCTGAACAAAATACTACAAACTTATTAGAAAGGGACAGTTGGGTCCCTTTTCTTGTTAGTTATATGTTCATTTATATTAATTTGTTTAATGTATAATTAAATATACATATATAGCAAGAAATAATAATTTCTATAAAAATAAAAAAACTGCTATTTTATTCTAAAAATATAAAACATAGTTGCAATTGCATTATAAAAGTTTGCTCTTTTAGAAATTATTTCTTGCTTTACATTTCTCGCAATATTTTTGTTTAATATTATATACAATATGTATACATGTACGCTGTGTGTGTGTGTGTGTGTGTGTGTGTGTGTATATATATACATACATACATATGTGAGCATCTCTTATTACTAGACTTACTTTGATAAAAATAGTTTTCATAGAAAAGGAAGAAAGAAATTGGCTTTTAACAAATGACAGAATTTTATTTAAACAAGTATACATAAATATTTTAAGTAAAATTCTGTCTTAGTAAGTAAAATGGATAATAAAAAGTTACAATTCCTATATCATCCGGTTCAAGCTCACATTTATACAACTTCAACAAATAGAGTACAGATATACAGTACAGCTTCTTTGGAATTGTACATGACTTGGACTCTCGGAATCTACTCATTTCGTACGTTTTTGATTTCGTTAGTATACTATTTCGTTACTATAAGTAGTGATTTCATGACATGAATAATACAATTATTGAAATAAAGTTAATGATTTATTTGTAGTAACAAATCCGAATTTCTTAAATTTGAAAATCGCGTTTAAGTCAATATTTTATTGAACGAAAGAAATTATTACATTGCAGTAAGAAACTTGATAAATAACTGTTTTGCAATAAGGAATCTAATATTCTTGAATAAATAAATTTATCGAAATATTTTGTTAAATGGAATAAATTATATTGTTACGTGGTATATATCATTGTAAATGTCTCGCAACGCGATTTATAAGAAATGTAGGAATTTGTTGAAATTTATTGATGACTTTCAACACGTTGACTTTTATGTTAAAGCTAATCGTACACGCGTAGTTGATACGTTTAATAGAGTAGTGCACCCTTCAGAGAGTAAAACTAGATTACATACCTATTCATACAATAACAATTTATATATCATCACGCAAATATAAATTTGTATAGCGGATAAAACCACAGATGAGGGGCGCTGGTGGAATCGAACTCGGATCCATAAATTCCACAAATCGATCCACCTCCTCGGCGTGCAGCTACTTTGCGCCTCACGACTTGTACTACCAATTATGGCTAGTAAATGCAGACTCGCAATCATGTTATAATACATATTATAACATATAGATTCTAACAAATACAATATTTATAATATTTTTCTACTGTTATTAATGCATAAAGAAGTTAGAATTCTAATAATCCGTGTAAACTTATTAATGCAACGCTATGTAGGAAATAGATATGCATTTATATGCAGCATCGATTGTGAATTGTACAGTGGGTTGTCAACTTTTCAATGGAAATAACGTGCAAGTATGGTGTTTCTTATCAATTTAAAATGAATATAACATGCAATTGTGAAGCTTATTAATACAATATAAATTGAAAATAACATGCAAATGTGGTATTTCTTATCAATTCTTAACAAATATACTTATTTTATTTTAATAATTTATTGCATTCATCAATAATTTTTATTTTTCATACATTTTCCTTTTTACTGTTATTAATGCACAAAGAACATTCTAGTAACTCGTGTAAACTTGCCTATCTCACTATCAAGAACGTAATGTTCCAGCTTCCATTAATGGACAAAGAAATCTGTCGTTTCATAAAGGTGCAAACATTAATTCTCGATTAGATTCTGAAGCTCAATTTCGAACTTCGTTTATTGGAACTTTTTCGAAAATCAGAAGCTAATAACCAAGGGAACTGTCGGGTCGTGCGCATATACAATTTCATACGACTGCGGCCAGTAAGTATATAAAATTATATTAAAAAATCAACTTAAAAAAATTATGAATGCCGCATATCAGCATCTATTGATACATCAAACGTTTTCATATCAGACCGCACTGTCAATCGTAGTATCTCCGTACCGTCACCGGAATTAACATGTGAAGATAATGATGGTATGGATACGCCTTTTGCTTCGACCTTGAAGCAGAAAACCGATGGAATATACCAATACGTTACAAAATTAGATAATAATCGTCTTTACATTGTGAGATCTCCAAAAAAAGAAATCAGATATTAGCTAATTCGTCTAGATGTGTATGATATCATTGCCACCAATACATTACAAAAGAAAAAATATTTTCAACGTTTCTGAATAATTTGATTAATTAGATGCATTAACAATGAAAAAATTATCAAGAAATAACTTACCCTTCTGGAAAATAAACAAGTACTACATACTAATAAACAACCAACTTAAAAAAATTATGAATGTTACATCAATATAATTGCCGCCATTACATTACTAATAGCTAACAGAGATAATCTGTAAAGAATCCTCCATAAATTTAACATCATAGCTGAAAAATAAGATTATATCAGTAGAAAAAACGAAGTGCTTGGACTGTCACTAAAGAACCTATGAGATATAAACTTGAAGGTAGAAAGTGAATCAATAGAGCAAGTGATGGGTTTTAACTACCTAGGAGTGAACATAACAAGTAACCACAATATCTATATCTGAATCAATAACTATATCTGAAGACAGTTAGGTAAGTAAAAAAAAAAAGCAGCAATGATATCGAATGCACTAACAATAATAATAATAACAATGATAATTTTGTAAAATGTTAATTTTAATTTTACGCAAAACGACCGAACGACATTACATTTTTTGTTCTACACGATAAAAAAATTCGTAAGCGTGAACTTCGATTGACACACTATGTTTAACACTAATTTATTTTAATTTATGCGCACTACACTTTAAATAGTATACGAGATTATTTTCTTACATATTTTTATCGACTTGTGACGGATCTTATGCAAATCAATATCAAAATATACAAGGAAAAGATATTATCTTATATTAAACATAGTTAATAACCAAAGTTTACACTTATAAATAAATTATCTAATTAAATATCATTCATATTGAAAATAAATATCATTCGATCGTCTTGCGCAACATGTTTTTTTGTACTAATAATTGTGTAAAATATTAAGTTTAATTTCACGCACAGTGCATATCAAATATTGATCAAACATATATGAACGTTTGAAACTATATGTGGAACAGATAGTTAGCGTACAGTGAGCGAAACATAGAATTCCCGAACATAACCCGAAAAAAAATTTTTTATTTTGTACATTTTATAATTAAAAATATTTACTCCACATAAACAGAAATCAATAATAGATCAGATCTTTATTCTAAGGCAAATCTTAAAAAAAAACAAAAACTTTACGCTTTGGTACGCGAATATCACAAGATCATTGAATTTGATCCGTGCGTGCTCTACGATCTTCGACGGATTCAAGAGCATCCCGAGTATCACTCTGTGACCGGAAAATTATCAAAATCCGCCATCGCGCCCACGTGTAAATGCTCTTCCGCGGGTTATAAAAATTAAGGCTGTGACCCGCATTAATAATAATAATAATGAGTATACAGTGTAATTAACCATGCATATTATTGAGACTTTATTATTAAACGACACGTTTTACAAAGCTTGAAAATCTTTTATTTAGCTTAGGAAATACAAGGGATAAACATATAAACCGAAAACGATCTTAAATCAGAGGAAAAAATAACAAAGGAAAAAGACATGGAAAAAGACACAAATAATGATAAAAATAGATGAATGAAAACACAGGAAAATATTAAATTCGTTTTAAAGACTTAGATTATCAACATTGAAATAAATTAAATTGTTATGAGCAAAAAAGTAAAAAACAGAATATACTATTTAAAACGATATACAGTTTATATAGTATATCGTTTTAAATATAGCGTATTTAAACCTATGAATTACATTCTGTATGAATTCAGTGATTGTCAAAAAATTTTTTAAACTTCAGGTTATTAATAGCGTGTAAATAATTTCTATGACAGCAGTCTTTTTATGTTACAATCTATGTTTTGCAACTAATGTAATAATTATATTTTTTCCTTCCTTATTCTTTAGTTTTAACGTAATTTTTTATATTACAGTTTCCCTTTTTTGTTTTTTTTTTCTCTTTTAACTATGTTATTATAATTTATTTAAAAAAATGAAAAATAAATTTTAAAAAATAAAAAATTTTTTTATTATTGAGTTATTACTTTAATCCTATATGTGAATTGCTATTTTTCATTGAGGTCGATAAAAACCATGGGTCATTTATGCTAGCATAATTTGAAAGATTCATACGCAGAGTTAATAGAAATAAAGTCAAGTTTTAACTTGCTTATACTATTAAAAGAAGCTTATACTATTATTAGAAGTTGCATAATATTTCATTTGATTTGTTATATGCTTTTATAAAATTTTCGTTTTTAGCCTTTATTACAATGTTTCTGATAGCAAACTTAGTGCTATCACTTGTTATTTAATAGTGTCCTTTTATACGGAATTTTAATTAAACAATGAGATATAAAAACTAAAATAAAAATTACCTCCTATTTTAATCACGTTCATATTTGTTGTAGATAACATCAACGCCGTGGACATCGCTGTTAGCTTAGTACAACAATCGCTTCATCTAACACAATTTCTTGAGTTTTTCATCAATAATGAACTATGCCCGCCTCTTTTATAAACATTTTTTTGCTTATTGAATGCTATTTCCATAATTTTCTTCTATACAGTTTTCTGTAATAACATTAATTCATATGTAATCAGCAAATAAAATATTTTTTGCATAATGGATATATAATAAATTATGTCTGAAATCTAATATATATATAAACATAATACATACGTTTCAACCTTCTAAATGTCGGAAAACCGTTGTTTGTTAGAAGATCGAAACATATGTATCATTATATTTATTGTATTTCACATATCATTTGATTTTACCAACTGATTTCTTTGCGAGGCTTATTTGCCTCTTTTGTTTTATTAATTTGAATTTTTATTCCTTTGAACCTTAGAATATTTCGATTTTAAATTTTGAATTTTTAAATTTTAATATTTAATATATGAAACAATAAGTATTAAACAAAATATTTTACTGCATTATTTTGCATATTATTAATCACTATAAATACATTAAATAATATAATTACATTTTAAAAAATTTTATCCAAATATTGATTTAAGGAATTCTGTTCTATCTTCTACTTGCGTATTTGCTTTCTTATTCCTTATTTCATTATCAGTATCCCTTTGCTTAACTTCAGACAATTCAAACGTCGTCTCCTCCCCTTGTTCATGTTTCCTATGCAGCTTTTTACTTCTGTCTACATTATATGAGAAGAAGTTAATTTCTCTCTTAGCTTGCGCTATCTCTGTTAGAAGTCTTTGCTTATGAACTGCACGTTCATATGCTAATCGTTCACTCAAATGAATCCATTTAAATCTGTAAAAAAGAAATAAAATGTAAATAATATTAATTAATGAGTAATAAATAAAAATAAGAAATAATAAATAAAATAAAATTCTTATTTTACCTAGGCAAATACTTTATATTCCACATAACATCGTAGAATTTGCTTTTCTTTCTCGTGGATACTTGAGTATTGTTTAACGTTTCTGCTACAAATTTTGCTACTTTTTTACTTTCAAATTCTATCCAACCTTCAGTAAAATGCTTGATTACTTTCTTGGTTTTCTTTTTATGTTTCACTGATTGTGTCTCTATAAATGTTTTACAATACTTTAAATTTAATGGTGTTATATTTATAATCAACAATTTAAAATAATTGATTTTCTGATTAACATATTTTTTTAAGTTTTTAAACATTTTTTGTTTATATAATACAACATAAAAAGCAGAAATTTTTATTATTTAATTATTTAATTTACATTATGTATAAATATAGTTTTTAGAACAAAGTTGCATTTATTCATGGACACTCAGAAATTCAGGAAATTTTATTTCATTTATTATCACTGAATGTTACACAAAGATAAAGAATGCATTCTATTTAGTGACACAAGTCGACATAAGTATCGTTCTGTGTTTGTTACTCACAGAATGCAAAGAAAGATAGAACAACATTTATGTCGACTATTACTTCATTCTTGCACTATCTGGGCACCTATCATAAAACAGAATAGATTCTGATTAGAATTATTCAATTATTCCCTAGATTTCTATTGTGTTTTTTAGGGAAAACAGATAGAAAAATAATTCCGATCAGAATTCATTCCGTTTCACAGGTACTCAGAAACTGAGGCGCTATTCTGTAAAAGGTCCTCTACATAGAAGTCATAGACGTCGTGGACGTCTTAAATTATAGGAAACTGAATTCTAATCGAGTATTCTCCTTATTATTTGAGTGTGATTGGTTGGTTTCTTAAAGACTCAACTTCTATAGAGGAGCCTTAACTGTTTTACATGCCTACTGACAGTTGTTGTGATGCACAGCTTCTTACCATATAAAATATCTCTGCAATGACACTGACAATTGTAGACAGACGTGTAAAAACAGTTACAGAATCGCACCCCTGGTGCACACAGTGCAATAAGTTAAAACAAAACATATATTTGTTTCACTTCAACTTATTCCACCATGTGCACCAGTTTAGGTAATGCAGGAATAAAGAACAGACCTATATTCTATTTTTGTTTCTGCATTAGACTATCCTCTCTTTCTCATTTTCAACAAATATCAGACATATACTTATCTCACTTGAAAAAGTATACATTAGTTCAACCATAGAAAACAGATTTTAAATGGAAGGCATCCAAAATGATACAATCAACTAGAAATTTCTAAATGCAGCCCATAGTACAATCAACGAAAGAATTTTTTTAAAACTATCTTATATAACTGTAAGGCTGCAATGTCTAAATTTTAAGCAGAATCATAACATATTCTTATAAGAATTTTTAAATGCTTGTATCTTTATAAAATATTTTTACCGATAGATTCTTACTACTTACTTACTAGTCATAAAATTTACAAGAAATCATACATATTTACAAATAATTGTACATCTTACAATACATACGCATAAAATTAGAATATTAGTTAAGTTTCTTACAAGTTTTACAAAAACATATTAGTCTTACGATTCTGCTTAGAATTGACTCATAAATTTTAGATTAAATTAGACTATATAATACACATAAATGATACAATAAAAATCTAAGACTAACCATTGTCGACTAGCTGCAGATACACTCTGCCCACTTTCCCATAAGCAGAAAACATCTCTCGGATCATCGTGATGTTCATATATTTCGGAATTGTGGACAGATAGATTATTCCTCTTTTAACGTTTTTAACTTTCTTCTTGATTTTCTTTTGAATTTGTGCCGACTCGTCTGTATCGCAATCCATTGCATGGTTGTCTTCGTTGCTCTCGTTCGAATTTTCTTGAAGCATTTTTGAGTTATTCAAGATTAATTAAATAATTTCTTTGATTAATAGCATCTGGATTTGATATCGCCAAGATTAATTACACAACGAATATTGTTAATTAGCACGAACTCCGTTCACACTATTCGTCTTCGCTATAGACTGACCAAGCTAAGAATGATTAAGAATAACAAAATGGCCTCCACGCGCTTCACGACTTTGTCGGCATTTCCGAAGATTGGCGAAGATCCGGAGATCAGCTTGTTTCGAGAATGCAGGGGGCTTCGCTATCCCCTCCTTGATACCCATAAAAACGTGATTATAGCGCATGCGCAGTTAGCTACACTGTCGGTTACGATTTGTAACCATTCGTAACCTCAATAATGATATACTTCAATTGATATCTCGCTTCACTGAGCAGAGCCAGTTTTTCTGCTAGATTCTTTCGTTTGCAAAAAACGCATTCAATAAGCACAAATTTCATCGAAATTGAAGGTAAGAAGAGAAAAATACGGTTATATGTATATACATATAACAAATATTACGAGAAAATGTAAGTAAAGTTCACATCAGAGCGAAGAAGATTGCTATTTGCTATATATATATTCAGAATAAAGTGGAAAAATATTCAAGCATTCAATCATCACAAGAGTTAGTTGAAAAATTAAATGTGATCGTACAGTCTCAAATTTTTGCATAAAACTACAAGATGTGGGATATCGGCAGGACCTAGCAAACCTAGCAGAAATGTAGCTATAGTAGTAGCCAAAATGGTAAAAATTAAGCAAATTTGCAAGTCATCCAATGCAGATTAACAGTAGGAAACTGAGTATCTATTAAATATATACGTATACTTTTTTTTTCTTTTTCTGTAAATTCTTTATTGTCACTTTATACTAATGTATTTACAAAATTTTTACTAAACGATAAATTTAATGTTGACAATTGATATCACTCTGCTATAATTCTGCTTGGAAATACTGTTAGTTTCTGTTAAGTCTACCAGATACAAAAAATTTAAGTATTTTGCTGATGTGTCACAAAAATTGATGAAAAGCTATTATAATGTCTTGATAGCATAATTATATATTTCTAAATTGTTTCAGAAAGCATGTTCTTATTCATGTTTTGTGATGGATAAGACTGAAATACAAGCAACAATCTTATTTTTTGCTAAAGCACGCGAATTAGTTGGCTGTAAAGAATGTAAGCTTTCTATACAAAAAAAATTATCATCTGCTGATCTTTTTGACAAGATAGTTCATGCCTTTGAGCTAGAAAGTATACGTAATCAAATAATACTAGCTGTAAACGACGAATTTGTCGTTCCAAATAGCATTCTTATACTATCGGAAAACGACAAAATTGCAGTTATTCCACCACTTAGCGGAGGTTTGTTTAATAACAAATTAAATTATAGATTTATATTATTGTTTTCATATTTATATTTTATCTGTAATATTTCTTGAACGTTAAATAAGTCCGTATATTTTACTTATACATTAAACTCTGTTATTAAGACATTTTCTAACGCATTTAATGTCAATTAATAACTCAAAAAATGTAACATATGTTAAATAATAAATAAAATTAATTGTGCTGTATTATTTGTTTAGGATAATGGAGATATTAAAGAATTTTGTTAAGCTGCAACAAGAAGAATTAAATATTGTAGAAATCATGGAACTAGTAACATTTCCTAACTGTGGAGCAATATCTAATTTTATTGGAATTACTCGAGATAATTTTGAAAATAAAAAAGTAAAGTGCAAAAATTTAATTTAAAGTTTTTCTAAGTATTTGTCTGATAAATTATCTAAAAATTTTAATATATATCATGTAAATGTTGAATTTGCATAAATTTGATAAGAATTTAAAACTATATTTTATCCTTATTTAATTTTACATAGATTATATGCAAACTTTATTTAACGATGAGAACAGACTTTAATAATTTTTACTTAAAAAAAGCAATATAAGAAAATGCTAAACATTTTCTTTTCTTTGAAAATTTTTTTTCATATAATAGTTCTTTACTGACTTGCTGTTATTTTATTCATAAAAAATGATTATTCTGATTTGTAATGTTATTAATTTGTGTTCTGTTACTTTAAACAAATAACCATAAAATAGATTTTGAGTTTGAAAAATACAATCAAGAATATATGATCAAAGTCAGTATAACATGTAAAGAAAATAAATAAATTTGTCTTTTGTATTACGAAGTATATAAATAAAACTTGTAGAGCGTTGTTTTGCGCAATTATATAATTTGTATTAATCATAAGAGATAAAAATGTAGCATCGTCTATTGTTTGGACGAAAGAAAAAATACTCTAAATCTCTTGGATTTTACTCATAAAATGACAAGAAATCATTAATGAAAAATTATTTTTAAAAATATAATTGCAGACAAATGTTTATGAATAATGATCCTTTTATTAACATTTTTATAAATGTAAGGTCAATTATTTTGAAATTTTAGGTAATTAAACTGGAGTATGAAGCTTATGAATCAATGGCTTTAAAAGAGATGACTAATATCTGTAACAAAATTCGTTCACAATGGGATGTAGAAGGCATCGCCATATATCATCGTATTGGAGAAGTACCAATATCCAAAGCAAGCGTTGTAATTGCAGTTTCCTCTCCCCATAGAGAGCAATCACTGAGCGCAGTAGAATATGCTATTAATGCGTTAAAAGCATCAGTGCCCATTTGGAAAAAAGAAGTATACGAAACAGGAGAACCACAATGGAAACAAAATAAAGAGTGTAAATGGATAAATAGTAAATAGCTTTTTAATTATCAATTCTAAATATTTTCTTATGCATGTCTCCTTAAATATTTGCTATACTTGTATATCTATCATAATATTCATATTTTAATTGAAAGGAATCTTTATAATAGATGTAGTTAGAAGATTTATTTACAATAGTATTGATGTTGCGTCATTGCATGACCGCGTTGACTTATTGACTTATTTAGTTTTATATTTTCCTTTCCAAAAAATCTATTTTTTTTTACATTAGTCTTCCTTGAATGTAGATTGCAATAAGTCCTTGACACTTTGATTAAGTGGGTACTTATTTTTCTTATAAATCTCTTGCGATATCTTTTATTTTTAGCGTTTAAAGTGATTTTAAACTATCAGTTTAAAATCATGTTAAATGTAGCATTTTGATATCTTTATAATAAAGATAAATTTTAACTGGAAATATAGTAATTCCTGTTTATTTTTTGTTTGTGTTATGGATACAAAGAATAACAATTGAGAGTGTAACTAAAATAAAAAGACTAACTTTAGGGGCAAGTTATTTCAGTAACAGTGGGTCTACGCATGTTTACATGAACTTTTTTTTCGTATTTTAATTACTCCCTGTATAATAGGGAACGAATAACACAACTAAATACAATATATTTTTATTTAGTTAGTCTAGTTAATATAGCATATATAGATTAACTGTAACGGATTAAAATTCGAAAATGTTACTAAATCTACAGCTTTGAAAGACGAAGAAGCTCAGATGGCTTCAAATATAAATGAAAAAATATCAAATAAAGATGTTGTTGATCAAAACCTTGTACAAATTCGTGCGAATTCAGAAGAATTAAATCGTAGAATAGAATCATTTATTGAAAGAAAGCGCCAACATGTAAATACTGTGAATGTTCAAGAGTTTTGCCGCTACAGGTCAGTTCATTATTAATATTAAAATAAAAGAATTTACATGTATATTTTCTAATATAATTTTCATTATAATTATAATATGTATACATAACTGATATAATTACAAGTAAAAATTATTATAACTAATTGCTATAAATAATATATCTACAGTGAAAATAATGATAACGAAAATTCTTGTGCAAGAGTAGATGCCATTCTTATTCGACGAAAAGATTCCAGAAGTCATATAAAAGGTAATAATACAAATAGTATATAATTTAATTTTTTATTGCCCCCTCGATTTCGTATTATTTAATGTTTATATTATTAATATTTTTTTTTTTTCATTAATTTCTATGGACATATCGATTTATTATACAATATTTTATATATATTACAATCTAATTTGTAGAATATATTTTCTTTCGTGAACTCAAAACTAAGATGTTCGATGTAGATAATGCTAGATTTTTACATTTTTTCGTAAATTTATAAAATTATATCCAAATATCGTAACATTATTTATATTGTTATTTGTTCAT